AAGCAGACTCCCTGCCGAGCAGGGAGCCCCACGCGGGACTCGATCCCGGGACTCCAGGATCATGACCTGAGCCGAAGGCAGTCGCTTAACCAACTGAGCCACCCAGGCGCCCTAAAGATTTTTTTAAAGATTTTATTTATTTATTTGAGAGAGAGAGAGAGAGCATGCACGCATGCAGGAGAGGGCGTACAGAGGGACAAGCAGACTCCCCACTGAGTGTGGAGCCCGGCTTTGGGTTCGATCCCAGGACCCTGAGATCATGACCTGAGCCAAAGGCAGAAGCTTCATGGACTGAGCCACCCAGGTGCCCTGAAAAGTAACTTTTATAATGATACCTGTGGTATAACATGCATTAACACAGTAACACATGCAAATTTAAAAATATACAACATAATACTATGGGCATATATAAGATAATAAATGCTGGTATATGTTACTAAATTACAAAAAGATGTGGATGAGAAAATTACACTGGAAGAGTAAGAATTACTTCTGAGACAGAGAAGAAGGTAGGTGGAATTAAGCATTACAATATGGCAAAATATTGACACTTGCTAAATATAAGTAGTAGATTATACGGACATTTGTTATATCATTTTCCATATGAACTACTTCATAGTTGACAAAATTAATTATGGTATTAATTATTGTCGTATTAATTATAGAGAGGGATTCTAATTTGGTCATTTGGATGACAACTTACTGTTGAATTATATTTTTTTACTTCTGATGAGCAGCAATTTAAAAATTCTAGAATGCTTGGTGATTATCTACAACTTAATCATTACTGAGCATATACTGCCACCTAGCAAAATTTCCCAGAGTAGTTTAACAACCAAACAGAAAACGGTTCTCTTATTACGGATAGACCCTGATTTACTACTTCGGGAAAAAAATATTAAAAAGTACTATGCACTCAATTATGAAATAGGAGCTATATAACTTCAAAAGCACATACAAATACAGTTCTTGACATTCTTATCTTTTACAATATGTGGAGGCAAATCACTTTGTTCTCTGGCGCTTTAGAGTCTACCTTTACTATCTTATAGGAAGTAGAAAGCAACTGTCTAACGGGCTTCTTGGTAATTTGCTATCAGGAATAAAATAATGTCTCTTTCATATAAAGGCCCTTGGCCCTCCTACGGAATTAAAGTACATGATCAGATTGGTTCATTTCCTAGTTCTGAATTTGCATTTCACTGCTGCCTAAAGAAACATGACTGGAGCAAATCCAGCTCTCGTTTCACAAATTCTTTATTCACTAGATGCTAGGGCCGCTGTTGTTTCCAATTTGTGAGTCCTTTCTCTAGTTCTAATGGAGAGGGAGGGGAAAAAAAGGGTACAGTTAGGAGATTTCCCTCCCTCATGTGAACATAAAGTAACTCATGTTGAGCTATCTATACTTTAATCTGCCCAACACTATTTACTCATTATTACCTGTAAACAAGGTACTATGCTTGAGGCTAGGGAAGTTGCTATAAGTCAGTTAAATAGTCTCACTTCGAAGTCCATGTAAAGTACTGGTCAAAATAAAAGATGCAATAAATGATACTAAGGTGAAGTAAAAAGTAATTTTTTTTTGAAGAAAAGTAAAGGTAAAGTTAAAAAGGTAAGATTTTACATACTGACGAATAAACGTTATTTTAAGAACTTAGAATCAGGTAGTCATCTATAAATGTCAGCTTTTCTCCTTGGAAAATTTTTGAAAAGAATAAAAATATTAAGGGTAGAAGACACTGAAAGTTAGCATAATATAATAGGTGCCTGTGCAGGCAGGCTTTTTACTTTCACAAAAGACATTTTGGGAAATTAAATATGCTATAAATTAGATGGCCACAGAATTATTTAAAAGAAAAGTCATAATTAAAAATCATGCATAGATAACAAGTACCAATATCCTAAAGATAATAACAGAGATTTAGAAATGTTTGAGAATCTGATGAAACCTATGGACTTTTTTCCCCCAAGAGGCACACACACAAACACCAATTTACACAAAATTTCAGGTAGTTATAGGATCCCTGAATTCCTAAATCCCAGTTAAGGAGAGCTAATTTAAGTTATTAAGTATCATAAAAATGATGGCTCAAGTTTCTCACTGAACACATCAGTACTGAGGATATGATGGTGAGCAAAAGCTTACAGACAGGTGGAAGAAAGAAATCTCTCACATTCACACACACCTAACACTCAGCAACTCTTCCAAGTGCTAAAAAGTAAATGGTGTTACAGAAGTTTATAGAAGAGGTAAAATGAAAGTCAAACCCTGTTTCCCTGAGAAATAGCAAGTAAAGTAGAAATATGAAATGGACTGAGAGGAAAAGGGGTTTTGGGTAGAAGGAAGAACTTGTGCAAAGGATGTTTAAGAGTGCTATGCTACCTAGTTGAGGAAGGCCAGTGAGGCTGAAGTGGGGGCAAGCAGTGGTATACTATAAGGGGGAGAGGAGACTGGCCTTGTTTAGACTGGTCTTTACCAAAAGCAACAGGAAACCATCAAAAAGGCTGTAAGCAAGGGAGTCATGAAATTAGATTTCTCTTTTGAAGAGAGCACTCCAGCTGCACTACAGAGATCAGACTAGATGGAGACGAGAGTCAGGACAGTAGCTGGAAGGCTTGAAGGGTAGTTCTGGTGAGAGATGTAACCTGTACCAGGATGGGATGATGATGAAAAAGTAATGGACACATTAGTGAATGTGAACTCTTTTGCAGATATATTTCTTCCTTGGAGAAGCTGGTAATTCATTTCTTTTATCAATGTTCTAAGAGGCAGTTTTTCCTTTTTCTTTTTTTTAAAGATTTTATTTATTTATTTGAGAGAGAGAATGAGAGACAGAGAGCACGAGAGGGAAGAGGGTCAGAGGGAGAAGCAGACCCCCAGCTGAGCAGGGAGCCCGATGTGGGACTCCACCCCGGGACTCCAGGATCATGACCTGAGCCGAAGGCAGTCGCTTACCCAACTGAGCCACCCAGGCGCCCAAGAGGCAGTTTTTCTTAATTACTATTTTACAGTAATGATATTAGCCATTTACCTGTTATATTTTCTATATGTTGTCTCCTAATTGGCTGTCTTTTTTAAATTTGGGGATGTTTCGCAGTTTTTATATAGACAAATCTATATCTGTTTTCCCCTTTGTAGGTATTTTTCTCCCATTTGTGTTAAATTATAACACCTTTCATCATCTCCACTTCCGCTGTCCTTTCCCCCACCTTCATATGAGAACGTGTAAGATTTACTTTAACATGGGATGTATACACTTCCTAATTTGCTAAACTCATCTAGTCGCCCAGCAAACATTATCATAGAGCACATACGTTGTAGGTAGTAGACAAATACATAAAAACAAAGAAAGAGGTACACAAGTGTTTCAAGAGTAGAAAGTGGTCGCACAAAGAACAGACACTTAGCCTAGACTGAGGTGAATTAGTGAGCAATTCCTAATTTTAACTGTTTTAAAGAGGCCTGGGAATTAGTTAAGTGAAAAAAGAAAACACCGTAAGTGAAGAGTGCTAAATGACTCTAAGGGCAATTCCAAAACTGAATAGGAAGCTCACTAGTATTTCAAAGAATTCCCAAGGATATCCAATTAAACTATTTTATATGTCCTAGGCAAACTAATGAGAAAAAGCCCACCAAATGTTTTCTGGAAGTAGCACAAGCTTAACGTATGTTTACGAATATATGTTAGCCATCTTCAGAATTTCCCCCTTCACTATATTCTGTACTCCACTGTCAAGTGAAATTCGGACTTAATAACCTGGCAGTAAGGCAGTAATTATAACTTAGTTTCATTCCCTACTTAATCCCAGAAGTTCTCATCTCTGGAGAGTTATCTAGCCCTTTACCACCCAAGCAGGTCCCTACTACCATCTCTTACTGCCTTATACCGGTCTCTCTGCCTGGAATGCCTTCTGCCCCTTCACTGAATCAAAAATGCAGTTCCAGGGTAAGATCCTTAAAGAGAATTCATTTTGCCTTCTTTGGCAACCTTTCTGCACTACTTGTTTTTCTGGGCATGATTCTGTACCATCGGTGGGTGCTGCCTACCCTTTCCTATCTGAGTATAGGTTGCTTGAAAGCAGAAAGTATGTCTACACACAACTGTACAACGTGAACAGTCTATCTTGCTCACGGCAAACACTTAAACAGCCACTGAATAAAGAAGATAAAGAACTTCCTTTTCAGTAGCTGTGAGGTCATTTGATTCTTGCCTTAACAGCTTACTTTAAATCTTCAGATGTCTTATAACTTCCTTAAATAGAACCAGAAACTAGAAAGGGGATGGCGGCAGAAATGGTAGCCTAGTGACACTGACATTTTATGTTAGCAGTGATAAGTGCAAACACCTGATTTCAGACCGAATTTAAGAAAGAAGAGAAATTAGGGACGGCAAGTATAAACAGCTCTCTTTAAAAATTTTGCGTAAACGGAAGGAGAAAAATGGGACAGCAGCTGCAGTAAGAAACGTGATACTGGGCGTACAGCCTTATAAACGATACGATCGCATTGAAGATCAGCAATCTTAGTAAAAGCTATAGCTCTCCACCCCTCCCCCTTCACTTCCAGCATCCAATAAAAGGCAGGTAATCCGTAGAGAGTTTATTAGCTGTCCGGCACTGTGCGAACACTTCCCGTACTCCAATTAACTTTAAATCCCACAACCACCTTGCGAAGGAGGTACTATCATGAGCGTCGTTCTACAGACGAGGACACTGAATATTAAGATTACATGATCTTCCCAACATCCCACGGATAAAAATTCATGGGGCCCGAGGGCCAGAAACGGGTCTTTCGCTTCAGCCACCTAGGAACCGTGAGGCGGTTACTGTGGCCAGGCTCCCAGTTCCGGGAAACCAGCCTGGGCCCATCCAGAAGCTGCCCCAGCCACACGCCCTGCCCTCGCCCCCAGGAGACCACGGGCCCGTCAGAAAGACCCAGAGAAGGCATTCTGGGGGTCCCGAAGGGCAGCCCCACAGGTCCCCCCGGCCTCTGCGCCTACCTCGTTATTAAGGTTTAGTGTCCCCGGCTGAGCCATGGTAAGTCTGAGAAAATCCGCGGCGGCCGGCACGTGAACTATGTGAACCAAATCGCCGCTCCGTCGCCACGCCCCTCTACGGCAGCCTTTGCGGCCCAAAACTCATCCGCCGTCCGTTCGAGCCGACGTTTGAGCAACAGGGAGATTGACTGAGGAGAAGAACGGAAGTGAGTGCGAACAACTTCCGGAGTGGAGTGCTACGCGCCGGAACTGCGCGTTTCTATGGAAACCAGGCACGGGCAGGTCGCCCAGGGGGCGCTCCGAAAGCTGTTGCCAAGTTTAGAAGTTTTTCAAGATGCTGGTTTTATTGTATTCGTTTGTAGACGTGGCCCGGCTTTGTAAGGACCATGTTTTTGTGTCCCAGTGGGGGTGACAGCCCTTTTACGAAAGGAACAGTTGAGTGACCAGTTTTTGCTTTGAATTTTTATCTGGCGTTTGTGAAGATTCTTGTGCTTATAACAAACAGTCCTTATTAGATACAGCTTTTTCTCCCTAGGCTCACGTTATAGCTGAAGCACGAACATATTTTTTTCTGTACACTGTAATAAGGTTTAAATTTAGGCAGTGACCGTTTAAATTTAAAGGAAAATCAAAAGGAAAAAGTTGAACGTTTAAAGCCAAATGTTTAAAGCACATTTGCAACTGCCTATGGCTGAAGTATTAGCCTGTAGGCAGCGGAGGCATTAGGGAGTAAATCTGAATTAGATGATCTTTTAATTAATAGTTAACACCTGGTAGTATTGATCATTAAAATGGATCAAAGTCTGGGGCAAAAGCTCTGCATGAATTGTCTCCACAATATTCACAGGAATGTAAGGACACAGGAGCTATTCTTACTTTACAGATGTGGAAACTGACTTCTGAGGAGCCAGGTGCGTCGCATCCATAGTTGCCCAGCTGGGGCCACCCACTGCCACAGGACTAAGGGGCTGGTTACACAAATCTGCAGAGCCCAGTGCAAAGTGAAAATGCAAGATCCCTCATTCAAAAAGTAGGAAAAAGTTTTTTTTTTTCCTTTTCTTGCATAGTGTCTTTTGCCCTGTCATGTGTTTTTATTTGGTATTTAATGTGTCATTCTCTCAAGCACAGGGATATGGGTGGATCTAGTGCAGACCCTCACTTGGGACTTGGGTGCTTGGGACTTGCACCCCAGGACTTAGTTAGGGTGGATGTATGTTTTGGAACAAGATGGCAGCAGTTGCTGGGCAGAGACAAGAAAGTGGGAAGGCACTTAACCCAAGTGGAGCATGTGGGAGGCAGAACCAAAGACGACCTGAGAGTGAACCCTTGAAATATGTTTCGTTGTCTCCCTGGACTTCGCGTACAAAGCTCAGATTCACAGGTAAAATGAAGAATTTCAGCACTGATTGAAAGGACATTTAAACTTTAAGGCCGACTTATGAGCCTCTGTAGGCCGTGCCCAGAGCCCACGCTCCTAAGTCATGATTCTGTACTCAAATTACGTTAACTCGGACTTGCATTTGGGTTGGTATTCTTTTAGTTTAATGTGTGATTTGGGCACAAATGCATTCGTAGTTGACTTCCTATTTGAATAACGTTGCACAAAAGTGGTTTTGCCACTAACAAGCCATACACTGAATTGTAATTGTCTTCTCATTCATTTACTTCTCCTTCTTAAAGCTGAGCTCCTATATTGTAATGGCTTCTTCAACTAAGGTAGGTAGTAGACACTCCATACATAAATACACAGCAAAGGGCACCTTAAAGATAAGTGTAGAGCTTTATGAAAACATGTCTTCTCATTGGGGAAAAAAGTGTTGTTATAATTCCATGATACTTCCGAAAATGTGTTCTTAGTATGAAGTTTGTCTGTGGCTCTTAAAGGCTCTGTAGTGTTTTCTCTGGACCACCCCTCTTGTCCAACACCTCATTTGTCCAGCCAGCATCATCTTCTCACGTCAGTCTTTGTTTTCTACCTTTTCCTACCCCAGGCTCTCTCCTTGGCCTTTCCCCCTGCAGCTCTGCTTTCTCAATGGCTACTTTTCAAGACGAGGTTAAGTTCCATCTATTCTTTTAAAGGATCCATTCCATAGCTCCCAACAGAAGTTAATTTTTCTCATCAGCAGATCATTTTTATATTATTTATAATAGTTTAATTATAAATTTTTTTCTGTAAAGACTGTTCTTTTATAATGTAAGCGCGTGGAAAACCTAGATGCTCATTTTAAAAGTGAGTAGTAATTTTCCATTGTCCCTGATACATCACTTCCAAGTCAATCCATCTCCCCATTTTAATGCTACAATCTGAAAAACTTCCTTGAATCTTTGCAAAGATGATTCTACTAACCTGCTCTTATTATGCTATTCACATTTCCTCTAGTAATAACAATGTTTTAGTGTAGATCGGAAACTACAGGTTTCTCTCAAAAGCAACACATCAAACCACCTTTACCTTTTTTTCCCTTAAGGGTTGACCTGGATCAGTTAAATGCTGTCAGATATATGAAACGACAAGTTTATTATCATTAAAAGCAACTAGTGTGAGACCTCTTTCCTCCTTATTACAGTGTTCTGTTAGTCAAAGTAAGGCTCCAACAGCATGTTGGATGGGGATCCAGTTTTCCAGTTTCGGGTTTCTCAAGAGTTTGTCAAATCCCACTATATCTGGCTACTCTGGTTGCCATAACAAAATACCACATACTGGGTGGCTCAAACAACAGAAATTATTTTTTTACAGTTCTGAAGGGTAGAAGTCCAAGATCAGGGTGCCATCAGGTTTGCTTCTGGTGAAGGTTCTCGTCCTGGCTTGCAGACACAGCCTTTTTGTTGTGTCCTCAGATGGCCTTTACAATGTACACATCTGGAGAGAGACTTCTCTGGTCTTTCTTTCTCTGGTGTCTATTGATTTTCATTTAAAAATACTGATTCTGTTGGATTCGGGCTCTACCTTTATGACTTCATTTCATCTTAATTACCTCCCTGAGACTTGATCTCCAAATACCATCACATTGGGGATTTTAGCTTCAATATATGGATTGGGGGGAGGACACACAATTCAGGACACTTTCTTTGAGAAAAGAAAATTACCTCAAAAATAATCTTTTCGGGTGCCTGGGTGGCTCAGTCGGTTAAGTGTCTGCCCTCAGCTCAGGTCATGATTCCGGAGTCCCGGGATCCAGTCCCACATCGGGCTCTCTGCTCAGCAGGGAGTCTGCTTTTCCCTCTGACCCTCACCACTCTCATGCTTTCTCTTTCGCTCTCTCAAATAAATAAATAAACAAAATCTTAAAAAAATAATCTTTTCTTTATCTAACATGCCTGATGACTGCCATTTCTATTGTTAGGTATTAGATATCAATTGATATTAGGACACTGTGCTAAGTGAAATAACCAGACACAGAAGGACAAAATACTACATTAAACACTTACATGAATCTAAGGCAGTCAAATTTAGAGAAGGAAGGAGTAGAATGGTGGTGGCCAGGGGCTGGATTGAGGGAAAAATGGGGAGGTATTAGTCAAAGGGTACAGAGTTTCAGTTACGTGGATGAGTAAGTCCTAGAGATCTACTGCACAGCATAGTGCTTATAGTTAACAGTATTGTATACTTAAAATTTGCTGAGAGGATAGATCTTATGTTGAGTGTTTTTATCCTCAAAAAAAAACAAAACAAAACAAACAAACCTGTAAGCAATAAAGAGGGCAGAAAAAAAATTGAGAAGTGATGGATATACTAATGGCATAGATTGTGGTTATGGTTTCCTGGTATATACTTTCCTCCAAAGTTATTTGGTTGAGTAAATTAATTGTGTATAGCTTTTTGTATATTATAACCTCAGTGAAGTGTTTTTACTTATTTATTTTTTTAAAAAATTTTATTTATTTATTTGACAGAGAGAGACACAGCAAGAGAGGGAACACAAGCAGGGGGAGTGGGAAAGGGAGAAGCAGGCTTCCCGCTGAGCAGGGAGCCCAACATGGGGCTTGATCCCAGCACCCTGAGATCATGACCTGAGCTGAAGGCAGACCCTTAAGGACTGAGCCACCCAGGAGCCCCTCAGTGAATTGTTTTTAAAAGGAAAATCATGGGCTGGTACTAACAAGGTGATTGTAGTGCTATACCTTTCTCTTATTTGAATGAGTGGGTGAAAGAGAAGTTTTGGGGAATCCTGTCATTTTTTAAGCATGTGGTGCCATTTGAAATCTTTAGTACTTGAACAGTTATTGGTAATTCCCTCACAAGAGATTGCAGCACAAGTGAGTGTTTCAATACGGAAAACCACTGCCTTCAGTTTTTGGTTTTCTGGCTCTGCACTTTCAGTTCTCTATCCCTGGATGGCAGTGTTCTCCAAATTTCACATTACAATTGAAATTTGGAATGGTAAAGAAAGCAATCTAAGTAAATGGCTTATCATAGCATTTTTCAAATTAGAAAATAGTTGGATCTATCAGATTTTGTATTTCTTTAATGCCTAAGATTAACCCCTCAGGTTTTAATTTTTGATTTGGAGTGAATTACTAAATAGTAATCAATCATCTAGGTGGACTACTAAATGGATTTATTTAAGATTCAATTATATATATGTATGTGTATGTATGTATATAGGTATGTAACATACTGAAGAATGTAACTAGTTACTGTATAAAAGACAGGTAATTGGCAAGTCACTAGGCTAATATGTTTACTAAATTAATCCTCTGATTATTTTTTTGCCTAAATTTCATTTGATTTTTTGTGGAGTGTTTTGAATAGATTTGTTATTATATCTCTAGGAAATCTAAAGAAAATTTTCTATTCTAGGAGTTTTAGACATTAAAAATTTGAAAAAGCTAGTCATGTTATATAGCCAAGTTTTACAAAATCTAAAGAAATGGAGCTGACAGTTAGCAATGTAGTATTTTGGCTAAGAGGTTTGGCTCTGGAGTCAGACTATCTGATAAATTTTAATTCCACCTCTTAATAACTATGCACCCTTGGGCAAATTATGTAAGCTCTCTGTGACAAGTTTTCTTTATAAAGATGGGAATGATAATCAACCTCAGGATTGTTGTGATGATTAAACAAAAACACAGTGTAGGTTCTTAATGAATATTTACCCCTCAATGATTTAAACTGCTATTATTTTCCATTTCCTCATTTGATCTTGACAGTAACTTTGTGA